TTAAGTCCCGCTTGAGAGAACCGTTTCAGTACCTCTCGAACTCTGCTCATGAGTTCCTCATCGGACCTCCCAGCCACCAACACATCGTCAAAATAAGGGACAGTCCCCTGAACTCCCCTCAGTAACCCTTCCATGAGGCCTTGGAACACTCCTGGGGCCACGTTTACCCCAAACTGGAGCCGGTTCACTCGAAAAGCCCCTCTGTGGGTGACGATTGTCTGCGCCTCAGCCGCCTCCCTGGTCACAGGCAGCTGTTGGTAGGCTTGGGCGAGGTCGAACTTTGCAAACACTTTCCCCCCTCCCAGTGACGCCAGGACGTGGCTGATTACCGGGACAGGGTAGGAATGCTGCTGCAAGGCACGGTTGATCGTGCACTTATAGTCAGCGCATATTCGGATGGAGCCATCCGATTTTACTGGCGTGACTATAGGCGTCTCCCATTTGCTAAATGGGACTGGCTCCAATACTCCTTGGGCTATGAGCTTGTCCAGCTCGGCTTCGATCCGTGGTTTAAGCGGGATTGGCACCTTCCTATACTTCAACCGTATAGGTGTCACAGATGGATCGAGCTCAAAAGACACAGGGGGCCCTTTGTACTTTCCCAGACCGCCCCCGAACACATCAGGAAATTCCTTATATAGTACAGCCCATTTATTTTCCGATACTGCATTCACTCCAGTAAGTGCTATACCGAGTGGTTCAAACCACTCCAACCCAAGTAAATTCACCCGGTTACCTTCGGCAATCAAACAAGACAATTCAACACATTTCCCTTTAAACTCGACCATGAAGGTGTCCCTCCCCGCCAGAGGAATGCGCCTCCCCTGGAAATCGGACACCTGCGTTTCAGCGGCTTTCAAACGCCGCCGGCTCCTGGTCGGGAACATGCGCTGCCAGGTGTGGGAGGACAGGACGGTCACGGACGATCCGGAGTCGACCTCCATGCTGCAGGGCACTCCGTTGAGGTAGACTGTGACGTGGATCTTCCCCGTCCCTCCGACTCGACGAACCGCAGGCTTGGTTGACAGGCTCGATGTCGTCTGACGGTCGTCCTCACGATGTGCTGCTCGTGAGCGTTGATTCCGGGGTGATGCTTCTGGCGTGGACCTCTTAATTGCTCTGCAGGCTCGAGCGATGTGGCCCATTTTGCCACACTTACGGCAGGTGACGTCTTTCGTCCAACACTGCTCACGTGGGTGCTTCCCGCCACAGCCTGCGCAGGCTGGGCTGGTCGAAGTCTTCACTGGGGTCCGCTGGTCTGCTTTCTTTTTGACGATGCAGACGTCACTCAGCTTACCCTCGCTGTCACTGTCGGCCCCCTGGTGGTGAACGCGCAGCTCCGTCGCTGCCAAACGCTGACGCACCTCTCGGGTCGACTTGTCGGCTGCTTCCGCGGCGATGGCCTCGTCATAGGCAGCTGCCCAGGTCAGCTCCTTTCTAGCGAACAGCCTCTGCTGCAGCCGGTCGTCCCTCATCCCGCACACTAGCCGGTCTCTGAGGGCCTCTTCCACATTCGCGAAGTTGCAGGGCGACTTCCGTAGGGCGGCCACAAACTCCGCTACCGACTCGCTGGCCGCCTGACCCCTCTTATAGAAGGCATGCCGGCACGCAATCTCCGACGGCTTCGGGGAGAAATGTGCCTGCAGCTTCTCGGTCAGGTCCTTGTACGAGACGGTCGAGATGTCCGCTGGTGCCACCAGGGACCGGGCGATGTCGAACACGCTCTTTCCGCAAGAGCTCAGGAGCGTCGCCCGCTTCTTCTCCTCCGTCGTGATGTCGGAGGCTTCGAGGTGGAACCCGAACCTTGACAGGTAGGAGTCCCAGTCCTCGGTCGCTGGTTCGAAGGCCTCGAACTTCGGGCTATTGGCCATCGTTGCAATCGCTGCCACCGGCTCTGGTGGTGCCCGTTGCTGACTGGCCACGGCGAGCTGCTGCTCTTCGTTGTCCGTCGCGGGTCTGGATGGCGCGGGGCTGCCTACCCGCACTAGCATCCCATCCTCGTCGCCAATTGTTAAGTCCGGCGCTTAACAATGAGTCGGAGAGTGATTTCAGCAAAGACTCAAGTTTATTCAGCTCTTTGTTCACTTCTTTGACACGGTACAACATCTGATAGCCCGAACAGTTTGCCCATTGAAACTGCCCGGTATTTAAACATTCCCGGCTAACATAGCCACTCCCACTATACACATAACAACCTATCAGGTTGAGCGCATAAGGACCAATCACAAACGTTCCCGCTTGCAGCTTGCTTGAATGTGATTGGGTCGTGAGTCTTGGACTAGAATCCTTTGTCCAAGACGAAGCTTAACATTGCTTCCCTATGTGATGATTCACATAAAAACCTCCTGTATTCATGGCAGCTATGAATACATTACACTACCCATCTTGAATTAATGTCAAAGTTCATATTAGATCAGTCCATCTTGTATTTTCTATTGTCCTAGAAAGTGATAAAATTCAGGCTGGTTTCAATAAAATTGTATAAACAGCCGGCCTGATATCAGTACCATTACTATCTGTTTCTACTGTTTGGGTCATTAGCCTGCCATTTCAGAAATGATGCGTATCCTACCTATGTTACCTATGTTAAGACACCAGTATTTAGAATTAGTTTTAGCAGTATAACCCAAAAATCCAAATCCTCCTTTACAATTCTGCAAGGCAGACAGGAAAGAGATGTGGAGAATTTTGCCACATAACCTTAGCTCCCAATTGTACAATCATAGTTGTAGCTACGGGGCATGTTGCATACAATACCTATTCAACTGGGAAACCAAATTTTTAAGCGCCACTGTACTGACGCAAGATACAGGTACTCTGTCATTCAATAGTTGTTCAGGTGGCCTGGATGGACAACTCTGATTGTGCATTGTGGGCAGTCAGCAATGCTCCCTCTAAGCTGTGGAGTCTTGTGAGCAAAAATTCTACTTTGTGAGCTACTGGCATTAAAGTTGTGAGCGAGCGATTTAACTACTGCATAAATTAGTTTGCTCTGGAGCCATCCTTCCTGTTGTTGTTCAGTCGCACAGTAGAGTCCAACTCTTCGCGACCCCATGGACCAGATCACGCCAGGCCTTCCTGTCTTCCGTCGTCCTCTGAAGTTTGCTCAATTTCATATTCGTTGCATCTATGACACTGTCTAACCATCTCATCCTTTGCCGTCCCCGTCTTCTTTGACCTTCAATTTTCCCAGCATCAGGGTCTTCTCCACTGAGTGCTCCCTTCTCATTTGTTGGCCAAAGTATTTGAGCTTCAGTTTCATTATCTGGCCTTCCTGGGCTAAGACAAAAATGTGTGAGCCAAAAAACCTGTGAGCTAGCTCACACTAACTCTGCTTAGAGGAAACGCTGCCAGACAGTTTGCCTTTTGTGAGCTATATATACCAGGCCTATCAGAGAGAGCTTTTGATTCACATGAAACATCTCTGATGGAAGCAAGAAGATGGAGGCCAGAAGATGGATACGTAGAAGTCATATAGAAAGCCAAGCAAGCCAGCTACCTTACCTCCGAGGCCCACTTTTGGCCGGTGTTTATGACAAGGGGAAACAGGTGCCCCATCTTTGAGTTTCCATGTATCAGTACTGAGATGGAACATGGATCCTTGCAAGCAAAACATTTGAGTATGGTAAGCCACAGCTCAAATCTTTAATGTAATTTTTTTAGACAATTCACAGAGGAAGAAAATAGCCTTTGTGAAACAAAGCAGCCCAGAAAGCACATACATGTATCTCCTGAAAGGTTTATTAGACCAGATTATTTTTCATCTAACTTGAGATCGTTTCCAGTTATGAATCTGTTAAGTATGAGACTTCAGTCAGCTCTTAACAAGTGAATTCAGCTTTATTGGAATCAGACAAAACAACAACAACCAAACGGAACAAGGAGCTCTCGTTTAAACTCTCGGGGCTTGTAAAGCCATGTCCCCTAGTGGGTTAATAACCAATCATAACTCTTGCATAATGGCCAATGATATTCGTTCCATGACCTTCCTTAGGTTCTGATTGGTCTACTACGCAGAGTAGCCAATCAGAACGTGCATTTCATGATACCAGCCCAGACATTTACTGTATGCACACACATAACAGTATCAGAATTCTAGATTCTTCAATAGAAAACAGTACGAAAAGGGATCCATCCCTATCATCACTCCTCCCACATCTCACAGTCACATGGAATAGTCATCAGTACCTGTGGTTACGTTCCCCAGCTAACTTGATTAATGGATACCAAGGCCTCTTGTCCTCCGTGAACTCATCTAATCTTTTCAGAGCCATTATTTATTTATTCCTTATAACATTTATGAATCACCGTTCTGCCACAGGCACTCTCAGCAATTTGCAAGAAATACCATTGATAACGTTCCCTAGCAACATGCACATCTTATTAAAAAAAATCCCTGATGTTTTTTACCTTGATTTTGCTGTCTATTACTTTTCACTGGCAGCCTTTCAGCTCTTGCACTGTAAGGAAGGGTAAACAACACTTTCCTCTGCACACTCCAGTCATGATTCTGTAGACCCCTACAAACTTTGGCAAAACACTTCCTATGGCAAGCCATCAGTTTTAGAACCATCTTGACCAAACGGTCAAAATCATTTCATTCCAGCCTGTGTTTTTGTTCAATATCCCTACTTTGAACACTTTGCAGAAGGCTTTTTAAAAAGGGGGTGGGGGTGTTGAAATCATTGTCAAACAGAAATCCAGACACACTTTTAATACAAGATTATCTTTCCCTGCGGATTCAAACCCACCAAAATCACCCCATTTACTCTTGTAACTGAATGTTCTTGAATAAACTGAATGTTCTTGTTACAGATACTGTTTTTTTTTTCCTTTTCCTTTTAGAAGGTGCTTGTCGAGATTATTCTTTATCTAGCGTCTGTCTTCACAGGATAAAACAGGCAAATGAAAATGATTCACTTTGGTAACTCAGGCACAAAGCTGCAACCTGCTACAGAAAATGCACAACAGCATCGAACTCACCCATTCAGATCTCTTACCTTCGGAGACTCTCTTTCTTCTCGTCACTGGTCAAACAACTATCAAGGTGTGCATTTATATGCAGTCCATGAACAGGAACCCCACAGACTGGACACTCCACTGGAAAATTTGGAACACACACACAAATCAACATGACCCTTCCTAAAGCCTGTGACTTTAATGAAAGCAAAGCAATATCAAATACATTCATGATTGGTTTTTAAGTCTGCATTGGTACAGAAGGACATGTGCAACCCTAAGACATTTCTTCCCAACATATACTCCATTTATTCATTATTATTAGTTAGTTCTTCCCAATATAAACTCTGGGTATTATTGTTATTGTTATTGTTATTTGATTGCTGAACTTGAGTTAATCCACAAGTTCAGAACAATGGACCCCCCCAGGGCTGAATAGGAACACAGGGTTCTTGTCTCACTACAGATGCTAATTTTCTGCTCCAAAGCATTTCCCCTCTGCTCTAATCAAGCTGATTACAATATGCACCATACCTTTGCATCCTTTACAAGGATTCTTTACAACACCCCTCCTATTTTCTGCCTAGGCTAAAAGGACTTAGAGATCTCCATTTCTACCCACCTCATTCGTGATGAAGGGAGCACTGACTCTTGAAAACTTGTACTGTGAAATTCCTATTGGTCTCCCAGGTGTTACTGGACTCCAGTCTAACTGTTCTACTGCAGACCAACACAGCTACCTTCTGAAACCATCTCAGTTTATTTATTTCATTAAGGTATACCCTGCCTTTCCCACCATCAAACATGGGCTCATGACAACTTAAAAATGCAGGTGTAAACTAGACTGCACAAACTTAAAACATTGTTAAATACCAAAGTCAGAAAACTGATCCTAAATCCATCTCTGCTGCATGCCCACAATTACATCAACATTGTCTCAATTCAGTTTGATTGCTCTCAAAAGCCTCTTTCAACAAGGAGGCTTTATGAAGCCTCCAGAAATGAGCTGACCTCTGAGAGGCAGTTCCAAAGAACAGGTGCCACAGCCAAGAAGGAACACGTGTAATGTACTTTAGGGATGGGATGCTCAAGTGAAAGCTCAAGGAAGATCAAAGTTGGTGCCAGGGCTCACAATGGAAGTGAGAGCCCTTCAGGTATGTTGGTTCCAGGCCACGTAGGACTTTGCAGGTTGTAAATCAACATACGGAATTTGACCGAGAAGCAAATAGGCAGCCAGTGTAGATGAGATCAAATTAGATTACATGATCACGCCTCTAAGCTCTAATTAGTAAATGGGCAGCTGTGTTGAGTACCAACTGAAACCTCTGGATAAGGACAACACCACACAAAGCACATTGAAATAGTCCAGCCTTGTAGTTCTGGATACATGGATCAGCACGACCAGCTCAGCAGAATCTAGTTAGGGAGGCAATTTCTGCACTAAACGTCGTTGAAAGAACGCCCTTCATATAACTGCATTAAGCTGACCTTCCAACTGTGGTGAAGAGTACACAGGGCTGCTACTGCTAATCAAGAGAGAACGGTTGCAGGAAAGGTCATCTGCCTCCTGATTAACTCTGAGAGGAAGAACAAGGAGTTGCTGCAAAGATGGCTGTAGCAGTTCGGGCCTTTAAACCCAAGTAGTGTAAAAAGGGGAAAAAATGTTGAGTTCCTTCGTAAGAAATTGGGATCAGATATTTGGGGGAACGTGGGGGACCTTCCTAATCTCACATTATAGCAGATAATTTTAAATCAGTTTCATTGTCTTCAAAAGCCTCCTTGAGCAAGAAGACTAGGATCAGAACAAAACTCTCAAGCTGTTCACTGAATTTTTCAGATTAAGCACCACCCCGTCTAGAGTGGGCAAAACAATTTCCTCCAAAACCTCTGCCAGTCCAGCCAGCATCACCCCTATCTTGTTTGGATTCATCTTTAGCCTGTTATTCCTAATTTGGGACTGGTTATGATGATTTTACAACATGCAGATAGGGAAACTTTCCCTCTTTGTGGTAATGGATTTGTGCATCATGAATACAAAGGTGATTTCAATACTGGCAACTTTGAAACAGCAGCACTGAGTGCTGCAGGTATTATTTTTTAAGTAAAGGAAACCTGAATTGCAAAGCAATTTTTAAAGTCAATTTTTAAAATTAATTAATTATATAGAATAGCCAGGAGAGCCTAAGATTATGTAGAATAGCCAGGAGATCCTAAGATTGTCTGGAAGACAGAAGTTCTAGCTCTTTAGTGTTATGCACCCCTAGTGGCGAGCTAGACTTGTTTTTAAGGCAAGAGACATTTTAGAAGTGGTTTGTCATTGCATGCCTCTGCATCACAACCCCGGTATTCCTTGGAGGTCGCCCTTCCAAATATTAGCCAAGGCTGACCCTGCTTAGCTTCCGAGATCTGACATGATCAGGCTAGCCTGGGCTACGCAGGTCAAGGCTAATTTTTTTAAATGAAACTGCTGAACTGAGTAAACAAATGCAGCAAAACCCTTCTAGCCGTGATGAGCATCTTATTGCCCAAAGGGAAACAGGATGTCACATTCAGCAAGAATTCAAACATGACAGGAATTACGTTATTACACACATCTATTTCTTCTTTGAAGCATCTATTTGACATTTTCTGCATTAATGGGAATATCTTTCCGCCCAACAGTTGAGCACTGTTTAGAAGTGGTCAAAACAAACAGCAAAAGTCAACACTCGAGAAGTGCTTCCTCATCTAGAGGTTTGTTGATTCTACGCTGCATCAGCTGACATATACAAACCAAACACTAAGAAAGCTATGGATGCTGCAGAAGACACATCGCTGACGCAGATGCTGCAGAAGATGACCCATTTTAAGCACAGCTGACAACCAGCATTAGACACTGATGTATACGGCAAAAATAAACTACAAAACTTACCCTTTGCGACAACTTTCGTTGCAGAAGTGGAGGGTGTTTCAGATTGCCTTGTACTTTCCTTAGGGCTTGTGCTTGATGCTCCTACACTAAGTGTCGTATGGCATTCTTCAAAACCATAGGAGTCCTCTTCCTCCTTCACTTTGATCTTTTTACTTTCTCTCACAAAGGTCTTGAATGGTCTTCTCGGTGTCTGTTCTTTGACTAAAAGAGTACTTGTAAATTCCTGTCCTGAAGAAAAGTCACTTGAAGAATTCAAAATATGGCCTTTGACAATAGCCTTCTTTGTTAAAAGTGCTGGAGGAGAAACCGATGGAGAATCCAAAACTGCCTGGAATAACTGTTGTCTAGGAACAAACACAGAATTGGATCAGTGGCAGATACTGCGCTTCTCCCAGTCTTCTCCTCATTATCATTTGAAAGGGAACATAAAACCAGCAGCAAGACACACCTGTTGTCAGCTAAGGCTGCTATGGTGGGGAATGTGTGGGTTGCTCTCTCTCTCTCCTTCCTCTCATCCCCCTTTCCTTTCGCCTGCGCGCTGTTATCTGTCTGGTGTCCTTGAAGGCTTTACTCAGCTAGCTCCTAGCTTCCCGCTGGGAATATAACTGTTGCTTTTTGCCCGCGTCTTCAGGTACTTGCCTATTGGCTTTAATGCATCAGGGGGTCATATATGAAGGGGGTATATCTGAGATTCAACCCATTTGCCCGCCATTCCTGACACAAGTGTTCATGGTATCCTAAGTACTAGTCCTCAATAAACTGAAACTTCTGAAGGAACGTTGTTGAATATCTTGAATGGGAAGCCTGACATCTGTGCTACGGACAATGGCCCTTCCAAAATATTTCCTAGCTGTTCATATTAGGAGTTGGGGGCACAAAGACGCCTAACAGTGCCATCCTAAGTCAGAGTACTCAGGTGTATTCGATGGGACTTGCCTCCTGGAAAGTGTTACAGGGATTGACTGCTTATAGTGCTCTGACTGCTTATAGTGGGAGAAAAAAGAGAAGAAAGACAACTACTGGAGCCACCCAATTTGGAATCAGAGAACTGGCTAAAATAAACAAACCTGGTGTGTGAACCCATGGTATTAATTGTAATTTTCAGATAATTCCATATTAAATTATTTCACGAAGGCTCCTTGCCATTACACTGTTTTATGAACTATATAAGACAATAACACGAAGAACAATGTAGTGAAAATGAAATGTAAAGAAAATGCAGCACTTTCTAATTTAAGTTTGCAGGACAGAGTTCATATGAGTAATCGTTTTCAGGGTTCTCTTCATGGGACAGAGCCACCAGTTGAAGGGTCAGGTCCTAGCAGTGGTGTCATAATCAGAGTGTCAGACTAGGATCCGGGAAAACCATATATGAATCCCCATTCTGCCATGGGAGCTTGCTAGAGTCACCTTTGGCCAGAAACCTGCTTTCAGCCCAGCCTATCTCACAGGGTTGCTGTTGTGATGATAAAATGGAGAAGGGGGAAATGTTATAAGCCACTTTGAGTCCCCATTGTGGAGGAAAGGAGAGCATAAATGAAGTAAATACATAAACAGAAAGGCTGCACCCTCTTTTTCTACAAAATGACCCCTGCTGACAGGTCAGTTAGTTGAGAACTTTATTAAAAAGATAATTACCTTAGATACATATGCGAACATGTTTTGTTTCAAAGTTTTGTAGTTTTGCACAGTGCCTAATAAATAAACAGAACAAGGACTTACAGGTGTGTGTGTGGGGGGGGTATCTCATTTTCCTCTCCCCCACTACCTTCTATTCCCCTTCCCTGAAAGCCCTCATACTCTCTCCTTCCTTCCTTCTCACCCACCAGCCAACCTACCTTTACCTTTCTCCTATCTTCAGCTTTCCCCCTTCCCTTCACTGGCAGTCTCTACCCAAAAAAACTGCATTCCATTTGTGCAGTGCTAGCTACCAGGTCCAAATGTGCAGCACCGGCCACTGGATCAGGCCCAGTTATGTGCTGCAGACCATTGGGCTGGGCCCAGTTGCATGATGGGGAATGTGTAAGTACTTGCAGAGCACACCTCACTTTCCCCTCAATCCCCCTCCCCATATTATTTCTTCTTTCCGTCTTCCTGGCAACACCCATATCCTCACCTTTCCCTGGTTCCTTCTCTCCTTCCAACCTACCAACCAACCTTATCTGCCTTCATCTTTAGCTATATTTATTTACTTCATTTATACAGTCTTTCTCCCCAATGGAGACCCAAAGCAGCTTATATAATTCTCCTAGCCTCCATTTTACCCCTGCAACAACCCTGTGAGGTAGAGAAGAGTGCTGAGAGTGAGTGACTGACCCAGGCTCACCCATGCATGATAGACTGGGAATTCAAACCTGAGTCTTCTGCATCTTAGTCTGATACTCTTACCACTACACTACACAGGCTTTTGTAAAGTGGCTGCTGTCAAATAGTAGTGAGTTGCCAGGTGGTTGCCACTGTTCCTAGGTAGGTTGTACAAGTCATGTTGTGGTGAGTCATTTGTTGGTTGCTGCCAGCCCTGGCCCCAATGAGTACTTCCTCCAGGGAGATGGGGGGGCTGGGAGGACACAGCAGCCCTGAAAAGAACCTTGCCCTCCCCCTGCCTTTTACTAACAGAAACCAAAGACTGAAGGCTGGCAGTATTGTTGTGGTTACCTAGCAACCACCGCAATGGTCATTGAAGGCATTCATTTTTCAAAAAGTACAGGTGCTGCTTCTATCATTTAGGGGTGTTTTAAACCCCCAATATATTTTTAATGTATTTATTTTAGATTTCAGATTTTTCTGAAAACCTGGGGCTTTTCTCAGGTTTGTAAAAATAGCTATCTTGTCTGTTCCTGGCTCCATTTTTTTATTATTATTATTATTTAGATATATTATGTATCCACTATAAGGTATCCACTGTGGTATCCACTATAAGGGCCTATAATCCTCACAGCTGTTTAAAATATTCCTGTACTCTCATTTATGGGTTGGATACAATGGGGAAGTTCACAGGTGTTGGAAAAGATTTTTCCCTGCTTTCTCCTTCTCAAAGCAGTCTGCCATTTCCCTCAAAAATCTTCTTTAAGGATCAGGAGAGCCTCACAGGTCGAACACACCACAGGGCAGGCACTGCAGCAGTAAGAGGGAATCAAGTAAAAACACCTCATTTTCAGTCTTCTGATCACAGTGGGAAGAGAGAAAAAGAGGCCATTTTACTTGATTCCCCATCACTTCAGCAGTTCCCACCCCACCCTGTGGTGTATTTCCTTGCAAGACTCTCTTGATCCTCAGAGGGGGGTTTCAGGACAAATGGCTGACTGTTCAGGAAAGGGAAAAGTGAGGAAAGGTGCTTTTCACCAACACCTTCCATGACCTCTCCCAGCGGATTCAACCCACTGAGTCCCAAGTAGGCAGAAAGGCAGATTAAAATGTCATTAATAAATGAACGAACAACACTAGTAAACAGCAGTTCAAAAACCAGCTGTTTTTCCTCTTATGCGTCTATGTTTGTGTATCATGTGGAGAATGCCCTTTCTATTAAGTTATGCTTATAATTTTACAGTAAAGACAGTGTCCAGATGATATTGGAAGTATACATAATGTAATCACAATCACTTTTTATTCACTTCCTGAACATCAGGAACTGCCTTGACCTAATAAGCCTGTTGTTTAAAAACAAATGGCAAAGGTTGCAACCAATGTTCCCTCTAAGTGGTGGAGTTTTGTGAGCAAAAATTCGACTTTGTGAGCTACTGGCATTAAAGTTGTGGGGGAGTGATTTGGCTACTGCATAAATTAGTTTGCTCTGGAGCCATCCTTCCTGAGCTAAGACAAAAATGTGTGAGCCGGAGGCTAAAAACCTGTGAGCTAGCTCACACGAACTCAACTTAGGGGGAACACTGGTTGCAACTCCTACAACTGTGCTGTCGTTTTTTAAACTGTAGTATAAGATGCCATGCAAGAAGCTGCAGACACTGAGAAAAAAGGGGGGACTCCTAAAAGGATGTGTGTGCTTGAACGTAAATTGTTAGAACATGGTCAGTTTTAGGCCAAGGGACAGCAACTTCAGCCAAGTAACTTCAAGGCTAGCTCCTGGCCTATACAACCAAAGAGCAACAAGTCAATGGTGTCTCATGTAGATCTGGTGACAAGTGTCACCCATCACAGCAGGGCCAAGAGACTGACACTCCAAAGAATTCCCCCACAAACATTACCCAAGAGACATTTTACACCCAGAATGATGACATCACCATACACTGATGAACAATTGATACAGAACTGGGGCAGCATTAGCTGCGCATCCATCATCCCACCAAGAATACATGTGTTCTCTCTAGCAACATGTACCATGAAGAACCACCAAAAGCATGTCATTTAATACTGAAAGGTAATTTTTAAAAAGTTAATGGATTTTTCGGACCCTCATTGTTTTGCTCCCATATAGCAGCTACACTTAGCTAAGTGGTGACATCTAGTGGCCATATACTGGGTACATGCAACCATATCTCACAGTAAACCCAAAAGGGAAAGCATAAGGAAAAGTCATGGGCATATTTTCAATACTGTCATATTTAGCTCACCATATCACCAGGCAACAAAGCACAACAACATGTCATATGGGGCCAACTTGGAGAAGGTTCAAATGAAAAAAAAAAGAATTTATAGGTTCTCATAACTATTCACTTGTAAGATGCAATGAGGAGGGAAAGCTGCATGGTATAGCCCTACCTCATCAGATCTCAGAAGTTAAGCAGGGTCAGATGGCGGATAGGAGACCACCAAGGGAGGCTCTGCAGAGGAAGGCAATGGCAAACCACCTCTGCTTCCCACTTGATTTGAAAGCCCCTTACTGGAGTTGCCATGAGTAGGTTGCAACTTGATGGCACTTATGTATGTACATAAGATGCAAGGATCAGAGATTAAATCAAAAGGTTCAAGGTTGAAGAAGAAGAAGAAGAGATTGGATTTATACCCTGCCCTTCACTTGGAGTCTCAGAGCGGCTTACAAAATCCTTTCCCTTCCCCTCCCCACAACAGACACCCTGTGAGGTAGGTAGGGCTAAGAGAGCTCTTTCCAGAACTGTCCTTGAGAAAACAGCTCTGACAGAACTATGGCTTGCCCAAGGTCATCCAGCAGCGGCAAGTGGAGGAGTGGGGAATCAAACCCGGTTCTCCCAGATTAGAGTCTGCACACTTAACCACTACACCAAACGTAACCACTACACCAAACACTAAACAACCTTAACCGTACTGTCGGGGGAGGGGGCGTGGATTTTTGTGGACTTCTCAAAAATCCCTTTGTTAGGTCATCTTAGCCAGGGCTCCCAAATCTTAACTGTTTATACTTCTACTTCTATCA